CCCCAAAACCCCAAAACCCCAAAACCCCAAAACCCCTTGATTCAAAAAAAAGTTATATTCTGGTGTAAGGGAAATAATAATGAAGAGAAATACAAAGCAGTTTTCATATCTATGGTTCTCTTAGATCATAAACAAACAGAGAGCAGAAAATGCAACTTAATTTCTGCAGAAAATGCAACTTAATTTCTGTTTTCTCAGTTTTTCCAGTTAGGAAACTTTATAGTATCCCAAACTGACAAGAATGAAGTATATGTGTTTTTCTCACCACCACTTAACTTATCCATGGTCATGGTCGCTTTGAATTTTGAAGAAATGTCAATGGTTTACTCAGTGACAGCTTTCTCATCAGCGTAAACCTAGTCCCAATCAGCTTTTAGATCATCGATAGAAGTTTTGTTTGTAGTTTATACTAGAATTTTGTTGTCTGTAATGAAATGTACCGTGAGTTCAGCTTCAATTGTTATTAGATTAGAATCTTTTTCAGCTGATGGAGTATTATTAATGAGAGCGACAAACTGAGATAAACCTTCCAAAAATGTGCTATCATTATTTGATACAACATTGACGTAGCTGACCATGTAGTCATCAGTCTTAACCTTTTAACCTCCACCAATGTCAATCTCACCTTGATGTGCTCTTGGAAGTAAGACAGTTCCTTAGAACTTATCTCCTGCCTATGCTGTATTTTTTGAAACCAAGAAAACTAGCTTCAAATCTTACTCAGTAACGTTGTATATATTGAAGTTATGAGTAAACTTCTTAAATAGCAGCTCTGTAATAAAATATAAGGCAATAGCGATTGCTGCAACAACAAAGAAAGTCATACATGCAGCAGTTAGAGTTAACTCTAAAGATTCAATTGAGCCCATTTCAAATTAGAGTTCTAGTTCCTCCTCACTAATGACTCCCTCAGCCTCCTCTTCTGTGATAATTAACTCTTCTTCAGCCTCAAATGCTCCATACATTTTATTAACGAGTTATCTCATGAGCTATTACAGTGCTCTAATGGCAAAATATCCAATGCCAGCAATAATTGCTTCTCCAGTAACTTCTATTCCCACGACCAAAGTTTAGTGCTCGGTCCAAAAACCATCATTATATCTAATATTAGCCACTGTTACAGTCTTCTCAGTGGGGTCTTTCTGGAATTTTTTGAAGTATGTATCTTTGTACTCTTAACTTTGAATGAATTTGCTTTACTTGTCGTTGGGTGCACCTGTTGTTATTAGAATAGTTGCATCTCCTGATTTTGAGACAACAGCAGAATCGGCTCCTTCATACTCTACTGTAATCCATGACTTATCTCCATTATCTCTAATATTTCTTAGGACATCCTGAATTTTTGTACTAAAGGCGTCCCTATCACCAGCATATTAGGAAGTACCTCTTCCTGTTTAAGAATATCCCCCTATCTATGAGAATTGATCTGGAGATAAAACTGAAAAATTTGACAATGGGGTAATAAGGGATGAACCCTAGGTCTTTTCGTTACTCTTGCTTTCCATAAAATATTAAAATTTGATGTGCTATTGCTAATCCAAAATTTAAGATATATTAATTTCTATCGATCTAAAAATGATATTCAAGAGCTTAGGGGTTTTGGGGTTTTGGGGTTTTGGGG